TCTACAATATAAACACGCTATCAGGCACCGAAATTTGTACTAAGGGCAGTCAAAGGTTCAGACACTTGACGTCGTCTGTGTTTGGGTCCCAGTAGAAGGTGTAACTGCGAACGTATAGTGAGCTAAGCGTGGAGATGCTGGTAGTTAGTCGATATGCACAGCCAAGACCAAACACGTTTGCACATACACACTTACACATACACACACACACACACACACAAACAAACTCTTATACACACTCTTCAACGCATACACAACACACACCCCTACGCACACAGCCCTGGACAAACCTGACAGAGAACTGGCGACAAGCAGAGCTAGAGAGGTGCCCACTGAATCCATGATGATCATGTACAGCGTGAACAGGAAGTACTTCTCCACTGTCAGCGGCAGCTTTCCCAGAAAGTACACAAGTGGTGTGTACAGGATACCTGGGATAAGGTGTAAGAGTGTTGAATGGTAGGAAATGGACTATTAACAAATGCACATGTGTGCACAGGAAGTACACAAATGGTATGTACAGGATACTTGGGATTGGGTATAAGAGCATTGAATGATAGGAGATTGACTATTATTAAACGTACACATACGGTATTTGACTATGATCAGCATACCATCCCTACACTGACAACCATTTGGCACGAACATTAGAAATAGATAATATTATCCCTATTTATAGAACAGATACCCGGAAATACCTACAAATAGATGTCATATTTAGAGAACATATACCCAAAACTACCTACAAATAGATGTCCTATTTACAGAACAGATACCAAAACTACCTACAAATAGATGTCCTATTCATGGAACAGATGCCCAAAACTACCTACAAATAGATGCTGCAGCTGAGTGCATCAGAGAGCCGTATGCGAAGTGCTGAATATATGCTCGGAATATGTCAATGGTCACTGCCCAATACAAACCCATCTCTATGTGTACTGGTATCCCCTACAATACTACATGCTCGCTTGTTGGAGTATACATGTGCAGGGATTCATACCCATGGTAATTCCTGGTTAATTGTTTATACCTTTTGTGAAGGCACCCATGCTTAGCCTTAAGTACCAACACAGATGATACGCCAGATAACTGTATGTCCCGCTAGCCCCGTCTCTGCGCAGCATTTCTTTCTCCAGGAACACTAATAGGGTTTTAAGGTTTACAATATAGGGTTTTAGGGTTTACAATATAGGGTTTTAGGGTTTACAATATAGGGTTTTACGGTTTACAATATAGGGTTTTACGGTTTACAATATAGGGTTTTACGGTTTACAATATAGGGTTTAGGGAGAATGGGGCAAATACGCATACAAATAAAGTGAGATAAGAGTGACAGAAGGTGCTAAGGGGTTGTGTGCGAGAGAGATAGCAGAAGGCGGACTCGGTAGAGCATGTGACGTATTAAGCGAATGAATAAATGGGCGCCATGGAGGCCCATTAGTCATTAGTTCATCAAAGCCAATTAATTCATCAAAGCCAATTAATTCATCAAAGCCAATTAATTCATCAAAGCCAATTAATTCATCAAAGCCAATTAATTCATCTAAGCCCATTAATTCATTGAAGACCAATAGTAAAGACTAGGTAGAGCATGATATATACCAAAAAAGGTTTATAAACTATAGGTTGATTCGCACTTCAGCAGAAATTGGGACTGCATTTTTTTCTACCATAGTGCTAGTGAGAGATACATTCCCAGGTCAGAAAACCTCAAACCCAAAACTTACCCGGACCTTAAACCAACCTCAACCGTGTACACAGCTATAAAGACAATTCTAACACCCCCAAAAACACCCCCCACCAGACCCACCGCTTGATACCGTCGGAGCTTCGTTGAAGAACATGGCACCGAGTAACTGGTAGATAAAGGCCGATTGAACGGTGAGATTCTTTATCGTTTCTACTGTGCTTTGCGATGTCAGATCAGCGTCCACTGAGATATCCGGTGGAGAGATTGGGAGAAGGAGCCCGGATTGATTAGGTGGCCGAAATATGGGACAGAAACAAGGACCGCGACCAAAATAAAAAGGGCTGAGATAGGAAATTTAAATAGGACACTTTGTCAGATAATAGGACTGAGAGGGGATCCAGGATAGACGCGATACCAAATACTAACACAGAAATGTGGGATCCGAATTAGACACGCCATCAAACAATGGAACACAAAACGGATTAAAACAATTGCGCGTACAGAATTAAATCAGCCAGTGACGAAATTCATCAAACAAATGGGACAAATGAACCAAAAAAAAAGATCACGAAGAACATGGGTTAAGGACCGGCAGTAGGGGACATACCGATTTTCTATCTACCCTCCCACAGCACACGTACAGGCATCAGCGTAATATAATACCGACATGCTATCTACCCTCCCACAGCACACGTACAGGCACCGGCGTAATATACATACAGATTGCATGCACACCACACCAAAGGCTATGGCATATACTTGAAAAACAAACAGGAAGAAAAGGACTGTCTGCTCATACCTGCTCAATCCAACAATCCCACATTTTACACACGCATCCTATGTATACCACATCACCTTACCAACTCCCACACCAGTGAACAAGACTCTCTACGTGCATGTATTAACGCTCGCGGGGAAGCCTAACGTTAATGGTTTAGAAGAAGACAACAACCGTGTGACAGCACAGGTGTGCTATTCAGCCATGTGGTTATTGTACCACCTATTTACACGTACAACAGCGGCACACTGCACAAACACGATTACAATAGCCAGCCAAATGCCCACTAAGTTCACCATCTACTGTTAAAACAATGGATACCTGTGTGATAAGCCGACTGTGGATTAAACCACTTTTAGTATGTGGGCAGTAACTCTACGGCGCAAACAGTCCCAAGGACCACGCAAGCCCAGCACACAGCAGAACTAACTCCAACCACGCAGCACTAAACACAACACGTGCACACACACTGGCGGTTTGTGTAAAGGTTTGGATAAGCGACTGGTAGTAGTACACAGTTTAAGGCGTACATACGGTTTACGTATAGGGTGCCATAGAACAGGAAGGTGATGCCGCCCACAAACCATCCAGAAATGTAAGCAGGGTTACGAATCTGGGCCATATATGTCCGTAACGATAGCAATCGCACCTGATGAGCCGTGCTGGTCGCGTATTTGGACTGTATATACAAAAGCACAGAAAGAGTTATATATATATATATATATATGTATATACGTAAGGATGTAAACTTTATGAAAACCACGTCGTTCACATATGCATAGTACTGCCTAAAAAAGGTAGTCCAGTGGTTGGTATCAACTTTAAGGATGGAAAGCTGTCCCATATTAAAAATTTGAAAAATACAAGTACAGAGTATTCGAAAGGCACAATATATCTCGTGAAAAAATGAAAAAAAACTCTGTCCGTTGGAATCTAACCAGCAGCTGATCTCATTGGCTGGATTTAACCCCTCGTTCATACCTCACTTGCTCCTTCCGTCAGCGCGGATGTGATTCGAGGAGGCATATAGGGCAGACTGCGACTCTCGACGGATTGGATATAATCTGTCGTTCTATAAAACAATCGATCAATGAGAAACAGCACCGTACAACTACAACTGGAAACTATATAGATGTATAT